TTTCAAGAATGAAAGCTCTGTCTGCTGCTCCCAGCACTTTGCCTCTGTGACATATGAATTGTGCCAAATCCATTCTTGAGTTTTTGTTTTTAAGCTCCGAGTACAAGGGTGAAGTGAAAATAAAGTGTGAATAATGGTCTTTTTCTCAAAGGCAACGTGATATTGCGTTGAGCTGAAAAATTTACTCTCCTACAGATCGGCCCTGCCAGTAGGAAGGGCTGATGGATGCTGAGCACGATCCAGCTGATATCTGATACAGGGGAGGGGGAGGGCTCTCCAGGGTTGCTGACAAAGCTATAACAAGATCCAGGGATGGAAGCTGAAGTTAGGCAAATTCAACCTTGCAATAAATTGCCAGTCGTGAGCATAATAAAATATTATAGCAATTTGTTGGTGCTCGTGATGGATTTGTCGTTAAGGTCTTTACAGTATTTTCTTTTAAAATCAGTCTTCGGTTTCTGGGGGAAATTCTGAGGCCAGCCTGTGAGCTGGAGGATCAGGGTGATCCCCTTTGGTTTTGTAATTGAAGTGCACTTGTTAACTTCCCTTCTTTGCTAGGCCTGAAGGAGAACCATTTACCAGAATTGCCCTTAACAATTCTCACAGCACCCGCAGATCTGCACAGAGATAACTGTTCTAATTAAATCCCATCCTTTAGGACTACATGGGATTGCCCACAGAGATGGGGGGAATTGTGTGCTTTCCTTCCCTTCTCCTCCTTTCCCCCCCATACTTGTTTGGGTTGGATCTTGAGGGCTTATTTCGTGAGAGGTTTTCTTTTTCCCGTATTTTTCTTTGCTGTAGCATGGGAGCAACTCACCTGGTGGGATGTGCCTCAGGAAATAGATTGCCCGTGATCACAGTTGCCTTTGTCGTTGGTGTTAACCCTGTCAAACCCAGGCAAACCCAACACACTGACACGCATCAGGCTCTCCCACCTCCAGCACTCAGCAATCCCTTCACTCTGCAGCATTCAACAGTCTGTGCTCCTGAGAGCTGCCATGATGTTTGGGTGAAATGGAAGCCTTTGAGCTTCGTGCAGGGACATCTGGATGGAGCTTAGTGATGTGGGACATACAAGAAGTCGTCTTAGTGACAGGAGCTGATTCTCTCCTGATCTGAAACTCTTTCAAATATATTAAATTAGAGGCTGTCGAACATAAGATCACTCTGCACATCTCACAGGATTGGGCTCCCTGTTAGTTCCCTGTCTGAAAAGTAGTGAATGCTCAGGTCTGAGAACATCTTCTTGAGAAGAGTGCTCACCTGCAGGCTGTCTGAGCAGCACCAGGGCTGGCTGGACACCTGGAATGAAATGTTTCTGTTATTGTGGGCATTGAGGAAACTCGAGAGCAACACAGGTTTGGGAAATCATTCTACTCGAGAAGCAGCTCTCTCTTCTCGTGCGTTTTGAGCCCTGGTAGTATCACATTCTGTTTTGACAGCTGTCAGAAGTTAAATGAGAGATACTTGGGGAGAGGAGGGTTGAGCTACAGGAGAATTGTTATTTGCAGCGCTCGCCAACAGTTGCAGTTTTCACTTGGTAACACACATTCTGTCTGTTATTCTTTCTCTTTTCTTCTCCTTTGCTCAACTTCTGCACCTTTTATTCCTGGGGCTCTTGTGACGGGGACTGGTGCCATCCAACCCGTGCTGCTTGCAGGAGGAAACATCTTTGTGATGCTGTGCATGTGCAGTGCCCGTCCTGCCCGAGTTTTATCCCAGCCCTTCTTCACTGACTGCCAGCTTCCAAACTTCTCCTAGTGCCACTGGCCTCCTTTCATCTGCCAAATTTAAGCTACAGTTTAACCCTGAGGAAAAGGGTTTTACACTCCCTCTTTCCTTCTTTTTGTTTATTTTTCTTTGTTCTCAACCGACACCGTTTATCCTCAGATTACTGCAGCAGTTTGCTTGTAGAGGTGACACTCTGCCAAAGGTCCCTCACATAGCTGTATATTAAATACTTGCCCTTAGTGTTTATATCTCAGGGGGAAACATTCCCAGGTGTTGGAGCACAGTGGCTTCTATGTTTGCTTTCTGTTTCAGATTGGCGGCTGCAGAAATTAACATTATTTACCCTTTAAATTATTAGAGCTTTAACTCGGGAGAACCTGAAACTTTTTTTTTTTTTTTTTTTTTTTTGCCCTGTAGTCAACCCTTTTCGTTGTCCCGTAATTGCAAATAAATAACGCTCTCCCAAGGCCGGCTGAAGTTGGCGGGGAGTTCTCAGAGGCTGTTCCTCCTCTGCAGCACACGGGGGCAGAAGGCGCCCGGCCTATGTTCTGTGCTGCGCCGCTTCGGTGAGTCCTGCCGGATCATTTCGGCCTGCCAGGGCTTCACAAAGGAATTTAGCACTTGGGAAAATTAAGTTCTGTTTAATTGTCTGTGCAGGAAGAGCTTATTTTATGGCCGAGTGAGGTGCGTTCGTCCCCAGCTCGCAGGGTGTGAGTTACGGGCGTGGGGAGGGTTCACCGAGGTGTTACATCTGACAGTCAGTGTGTATGTGCAGTAGTGCAGAAGAGATAATTATATAGCTGGAATATATATAGGCATTTAGCTTTAATTAGGCTTTTGATTAAATATAAAAGTGCAATTAAGAGTGACAGATACAGTAGATCCTGGTAGACGACATGACAGTTTTTGGCTAGAAGAACTCCTGTGCTGATTTTTTGTCAGACTTGATTTTTTCTAAAGATCTTAATGACTGTTCTATTGAATCTTTGATCTGAATTGCTCTGTATTCTCTCTCTCTCTCTCTCTCTCTCTCTGTGCTTATCTGTCTGTTTACAGTATTTCTGTTTGTAGCAGATGTTAGATTAATTTACAAGAAAATTGTTTTGTTTCAGGGAAGGATGATAAAATTTAGACTACAGCCAAGCAACTAAGAATTAAATTTGGATTTTTTTTGTCCATGGTAATACCTTTTAACTGTATTTCACCAAGCTTCTCAGTCTTCCTTTTCTGGGTAATGATGCTATTTCTGTGAACGTGTCTCTGAGCACACAGGCGTAAGCAATTTGTTAAAGGCTTACATATGAGAGACTTACATAAGATTTAACATGGGAGGGGAAGGACATTATTATGAAAATGTAAAAGCAGATATTGCAAGATCTGCTTGTATCACTGATACAGATGTGAACAAATTGCTTTGAGTATCATGTCTCCTATTGCACTGAGCTGATGTTGATGTTAGAAGCCCTCAGTTTTGCACAATGCCTGGGCCAGAGTGGGTTTGAACCAATCCTCTGTGCACTACTTTTGAAAATAAGGCCATTAACTAACTATGGGTATGAAGTTAATTATAGAGTCCTCCCTTAAACAACTTGGCCAGGATATTTGTCTTGTATCTTAGCTCAATAAGTCAGATAATAATGATACAAAGTGATCAGGTAAAGGCAAAAGAGCAAAGAACCCTTCAGTGTGCCTTGACTGCGGTTAGTTGGAGCTTCACGTAGTTTCTCATCATTTCACAGCGGGGCTCTGAGGCTTTCCAGCGTCACCCCAGAGCTGTGAGCCCAACAGAGCAGCTCCCTGGCTTTGTTGCTGCACGTAATATTTGCTGTGGGGACAAATGGGTTCAGCTCCTCCTTGGTGAGGCAGAGAATGATGTTCTGCCCATCAGTGAATGCCCGTGTGTGCACTGAATTGCTTCCTTAGGCTGGAGACTGAAGTCAGCATCCTTGGAAGGGCTCCCGTAGACTCCAGCGTGGTGACACAGGCAGCTGTTCCCCATGTCTGTCTGTTACAACTTGTCATTTTGTTTCACAGTATGGGAGGTGTGAGAAGTGACAGGACTAAATAAGCACAGAGGGAACAGTCGGTTGTATCTGGCCGTGCAAACGAATGAGCTGGGAGTGAAGTTAACTTCATGTGAAGCAGCTTAAATTATTTATTTTCAATCCTGGAGCTGTACTTAACGTGTTGTTAAGGCAGAGCCATGTTGACAGGGTGACATTAATTACCCCACTGGAAACACACCGCGGTAGCTGAAAACAATTGTTCTCACTGTCACTGATGGCTCTGGGTACAGCCTCAGCCTGTGCAGAGCCGGCCAAAGTGTCCTCCTCCACCCCTGCATCCACCCACAGCTGTAAACTGGCTCTTTACTTACAGCCACAAAAGATGAGGTTTGATGGTTGTGGCTTTCTTGTGCCCCTCTCTCTCTATTTTGTTTGGGTTTTTTTTTTTTTTGTGAGCTGAGTGACTGTGTGATTGATCTCCTCTCCACTAGACATGGCATGTCTTAAACACATGAGGATGGTCATTCACTGATCCAGGGCATATGCTTTACTGTTCCTGTAAATCCCACAACTCCCTTAATGATTCAATCCTACTCCTTAATTCATAGCAGGAGTGTTGTGTCCAGAATAGGAAGTTATTGTGTATGGGTTTTGCATTCTTTGTCCAGGGTTTGGCTTACACATCCCTGCTGAGAACTGGATGTGACTTGACTAGCACTTGTCTGGATGTAAACTAATAAAAGTGAGGAACTGACTTTTTCCCTCCCTTCTTGTTCAGCACTGCGATGAGTTAGGGACTCCAAAATGGCCCAGCTGAGAAGCACTGGAATATATCTACAAGTAAATGAATGGCTGGCTACTTGCAGTTGCTATGTAATGTTTTTCTAGATGCTCCTGGTCCATGGTTAATGCAACCAGAGATCCTGCTGGGAGAATGTGAGTGAGCAGTGTTTGTTCCCTGAGCTGAGCTCGGTTGGTTAAAACTTGGTGGTAATAACACCAAGGTCAAGGGTTCAGTCCCCTGTATGGGCCATTCAGTTAGAAGCTGGACTCGATGATTCCTTGTATCAGAACATTCTGTGATTCTGTATCTACAAGTAAAGGAATGGCTGGCTACTTGCAGTTGCTAGGTAGTTTTTCCAGATGCTCCTGGTCCACGGTTAATGTAATTAGAGGTTTTACTGGGAGAATGCAAGTGTGCAGCGTTTGTTCATGACAGTGCGAGGCTGTGCCTTATAACATCTACCTCTCTGTTTGTAGGTTAGGCCAAAGACCCTGATTCCAGACAGCCTCCCTATCTCCCCGTGCAGAGACCAACCTTCCAAGCAGCCTCCCACCTTCCAGAAGGCGACCGTAGTGAGCATCAAGAACCCCAGCCCCGCCCTCCCGACCGCCAACAACACCGTCAGCCATGTACAGCCGCCCCCCAGCCAGCCCCAGAGCGTCAGCGAGCCCCTGCCCTCCCCTCTGAGCGGCGGCAGGGTGGCCTACGCCATCATCTCCACCTCCCCCAGCAATGCAGCCCCCATCAGCTCCAGCGCCGCCGTCTCCGTGGTCAGCGACAGCATCAAGGTGCAGCCGCTCCTCATCAGCGCCGACAGCAAGGTGGGGCTTGGGCTGCTTTAAAGGGAAACCCAGGGGAAATGAACCCAACTCAAAGCAGGGATTATAAATCAGAATAACAATTTAATAAAATAATACAATAAGTACGATTATACAGACAAACAGTTGGGTTTAACCCAACAAAACCCAAATGTATAACCCAGCACCCTGGGGCATGAACAGAGTGGTGTTCTTTGGGCCCCCTGAGTCCAAAGGAAAAGGAGAGGGGAAAACCTGTTGGTGAGAGTGCTGGTGCAGTCTGGGCAAGAGTGGAGATTGCAGTCCGGTTGAGGGTGGTGGTCTCAGTCTGGTTGAGAGCGGTGATCTGCAGTCTTCCTCTGGATCCCACGAGTGGTTAAAAAAGTCCCAAGACTCCAAGATTATATATCCTCAGGTTCAGGCAGGAATGCCCAGTCCCTCCCTCAGGGTGGGCAGTTCCACACTGGGTGTGAGGACAGGAGCACCCTCCTATCTCACAGGCCTCTTAACACCCAATTTACAGCCTGAGGGGTCAGGGCTGCTCTGGGCAGAGGGTGTAAATGGTCTGTTGATAACAGTTTCTGGGAAATGGCATGGAAGGCTCTAGAATACACAGTTCTGGGTTACACCCATACAGTGATGAGCTGGTCCCAGCTGTTCTAACTAGGGCAGGGCTTTACCTCCCCCTGGGCAGCACGTACAGCAACCCCGTGGCAGGGGCAAGCAGGGTGTTCCCCTGGGAGGGCACAGCCCTGAGCAGAGCAGTGGCAGTGGCTCTTCTTGAGGAAAATAATCAGAAAGCAAAGGGAAAACTCTTCAGGGCACACAGAGATGCTGGGAGACATTTGTCTGTGTACAGGCCTGTTTTTTGGTGGGAACAAAACCCATCATTCTGTAGCCTGACATTAATGGGACCATATGATCTCCCATTTCCTTAAACCAATCCTCACTAATAACATCCCTGAATTCTGTGCAGGCTCAGATTTCCTATGGACTCCCTCTTCAATTATACAGTGATAGGAGTTATATCAGCTGACCCCGGGGGAGTATATAAAATAATCAGGCATTCCCTCCTGCACTTCCAGGGGAACACCAAATGAAATGAGGGCTCAGGGTTTCAAAACTGATCAGCACAGGAATCAGTAGAAGAAAATTCAAGTTATGAATTACTTGTCTCCTCGTTGTACCGCTTTTCAGCTTTGAAATGCAAGAACTTCACCACTCTAACACCAGAAACAGATTCAACAAAGGCTGCCAATGTGCCCAGCAGACATTCACTGTCATTTACTACTGGGATTCCCCTACTTTTGGTCTTGTTGGCAGCACAGGTTCTCATAGAGTGCTAAAAAAGAATACAGGATGTAGGAAGGCTTTTGAGGTAAACAAGAGCAGACATCTTTTCCCCATTTCTTTGCCATAATTTGTTTTTCTTTTACTTAAAAAAGCTGCTGGTTAACAAAACCATCCCTTTTTATGCTCTAGGAACTTCTAAAGTGACCAGACTGAGATGAAGTATCTAACAATTAAATAACATGGATTGAAAGTTAGCAATGAAATAGATGGAAAAGGTCCAACATTCAAATCTAATATTTTTAATATTTGTCAAGAAGGTGAGCTTAGGAAGGTCTTCCACAGTCCTTTGTGAAGATTTGATTATGGGTATAAACTCACATGTGGGCAGAAATTGTCATTCATTCCTTTTAATTTAATACCTCCTGAGGTAACGTGACCTGCACTGTGTAAATCTTCGTGTGGTAATTCAAACATGAGCAGCTGGAGTTACTAACACACATGTGTGGGAATGAGAGATCTAGAATGTCCTAATTCCTAGAGGTTCTAAACCAGAGCTGGTTTTACTGTAAAACATGTAGTTTGTTTTGTTTATGGAAACTGGGCATCCAGTGCTCATAACACATAAAGGCAGAGGGATGAACTCTGATCTCAGTTACATGAGGAGTGTCTTCCTCCCCATCCACGGGCACTTACTCTGAATAAAGCTGGTTATGAGACTGAGATCTCATAACTGAGATCAGGTTGGCTCTGAATGTGTAGTGATCCCATCTCTTCTACCTGTACACAGAATAAAATCAAAGGAAAGGCCTTAAAATCCCTGCTAGAGCGTGGCTGCTCAGCCAGCTCCAGAAGTCCTCCAGATAGAAAGTGTCCTCATTTTCAGAGGCACTGATTGAGTGACTCCCTTAATCTGCTGGAGGTTTGTAATGCACCAAAACCCATTAATTTTTAGAAACTTTAGTATGGGTTTAGGAGCCAAACCTAGCTATTCAGTTTTTTTTATACTTTTGGCTTGTGACTTGCATTTCTTTTCTGCAGGGGTATGAAGTAACCCTTCAAAGAAGAACCCAAGGTTTCAGGCAGAAATATCCAGTTTCATGTAGTGAATTCTCTTATTTGTACATTGTCTTCTAGGTTATCATTATTCAGCCTCAAGTCCAAACCCAGACAGAAAGTAAAGTGGAGACAAAGAAACCTCCTGAAGAGTCAGCTCAGGGACCCCCTGCTACCAAAAAGAAAAAGGAGGAAAATCCAGAGGTGATTTTTTTCTTTTTCATTTCTAATAAATGAGCTCCAGCATGGTTAAGTTATGTCACAAAATGTAACATAACTTGTGGGTCTCATAACAATCTTGGCACCTTGCAAGGCTGTAGCTGGAGTTCTGGTGAAAGGTGCATACAAGCTTAAGATATTTTCTTTTGTTAGCAAATATACAGCATTGGGTTTACCGGTGGCATATGAGGTGAAATTAACATTTCTTTTGTCTTCTTTGTAATGAATTTTGCAATTTTTAGCTTGTATTTAACAACAATTTCTTACATTTGCTGTGTCTTCCCACATGTACGCAGATTCTGGTCTGAAACACATTAAAATCCTTCAAACTGAGTAAGAGAGCAGAAGGGAGGTTATAAGATGAAAGAGATTTAATATACTGCATTTTTAATATTCTTAATATACCATTTTTTTAATTTCAGCTAAAAATATAAACCACAAGTCCTTGTAGAAATGGTATCTCTCTTCAGCAGACATTTTGGTTTTTTGTCTGGGTGTACTCACATTAGATTGGGTGTGCTTTTGAGGCAGTTTGAGGAGTTACACAAGCTGAATCTACTGCTATTGTAGAAATGCTCAGCTCATGTGGAATCTTAACCTCACCAGTCTAATAAATGTGTAGCACAAAAGCATCCTTGGAGCTGTAGGCTTAAGAGGATTATTACAGTATAAATTTATAATGTTACTTGAGGCATGTGGGTGGTCATTTGTTTTACCATTTTAAGAGGTTCATATAGTTAAACGGTGTTAAGAATAAATATTTTAGCCCAGAATATCACAGCTTTATGCAGAAGCTCTGCAGAACTACACTTAAGAGACCTCCCAAGTTTAAAATCTGCCTCTCCTGTGAATCTTCACTGCCACTGAATGAGGGGACTGTGGAGTCCTGCTTTTTTTAGGCAGGTATTTCCAAAACCTTATTAATTTGGTAGCACCTTAAGGGCAGAAAGGTCAGTAGATCCTGCTTAAAAGCAGAATGTTAGGAAAAAACATTCATTTTTCGCTGCCTGTAACTTATCTCCATGGAAAGAATATTGGACAAAAGTGTTCCAGAGAGATGCAGGAGGAGATGATGGGACTGGGCCCACTTTTTGGTATGGCATCCATAAATTTAATGAGCTCTTTTAATTGCTAATTAGACTATCTCAACAACCTTTTTCTGCCCATGAATATCGTTCCTACCCTGTATATCCTGGAGGTCTCAGCAAGTTCTTTTTTCTGAGTAGGGTGCTGATGCCCTTAAATGTGACAATTCTTTTCTTTTCATAGATTTATTTCATGGCCATAAATAGGTAGGTCTAGAGTTAATTTCTTTTGTTCTTTGAAAGTAAACTTTAGTTGATTATCATGTATTTATGCAATTAGTGCAATTAGAACTAACAGCATAATTAGTGTAAATACATGTAATGACATAAATAGAACATGTAATTACAAAATGAAATGCTTTTGTGAAAATCTTTGTTTTGCTCCATGAAAAGATGTGCTGTGTGTTTCTGAAAGCACTCGTGGCTTTTAAGCAGATGATTAAATTTAAAGCAAAGAGTAACAAAGATGCCATATTTCTAAAAAGAAAACAGGGACTCGAGGCACTTCTCTTCAAGCTTTTATTTATCTTCAAAGCACAAAACTGAGGCAGGAACTCCAAGAGGACCCTACGTAGATGTTAATCGGGACAGAATGGGATTCAACAAATTAAACTGCAAATTTAAAGCAAACCAACCAGAAACATCCAGACTTACCAGTGGCCAGGAATCCCATGTGCAGGTACTGAGTGGACCTGAGTGAACAGAAAGGAGTGAGGATGATCACTGTCTTTTGTTCCTGGCTTGGTCATCCTGCTGGGAGACCACCAAGCTGATCCTGGACAACGTTTGCATTCTACAAGTTTTTTATCTAAGAGGAAAATTACTGCCATCAATGCTGGTTCTTTCTTCTGCCAGTGTTTCTAATCCCACCTAAGAAGCACAAGAGAGATACGTGGCAGTTGTGAACTAAATGCTAATGTTAGGCCTGGATTAAAAAAATGGAGAAACTGAAGTCTTGGTTTTGCAGCTTCCTGAACAGAGGAGAAACAACAGGCCCTGTGCTACCTGAAAGGAAAGCATTGCAATGGAATTCGAATTTTGAGTTGAATCCAACAAGCTACAGGAGTGTGAAATATCCAAACCCATAAAAACAAATATGCTGTTGATATAATATGATTGTTTAAAAGAATACAGCTTCTACTGGGATTTTTTAAGAAGGAACCAATTTTCAAATCCCTATAAATGTTAACCCTTTCTGTGTTCAATCATGACTTAATTATCAAGTCCATTTGTGATGGCTCTTTGTATGTAAAGCTGCCATTACATTTAACTAGATATATATTCAAATAATTTTAGCACGGAGAGACATTGTTTAGCAAACACTCCAGTACTCAAATAATTTCAGTTGGGGCATCAGAAAACGTGTGTTTCCCCTGCAGTTTGATCTTGGGGTGACACAGGCAATTCCATGCTCCCTTGGGAACACACAGTTGCACGTTAACCATTCCCACTTTGTGGTTCTGCACCTGAATGTTGTGATTTCTCCTGCTCCCAGCTCTGAGATTTATCCTGCCACGCTTACTTTTTGATGGGGGTGAGGTGAAGCTTGTAATTCCCCTCAGTTGACTAATTTTCTTCTCAGATCTGCACGGTGGATCTCGGATCAAATATTCATCTTTCCCTTCAGGTGTGGGGCCCCCACTGTGCCTGGCTGGTGTTTTAGGCATGTCAGGAGGGAACATTATTGAAATCAAGGTCTGACATGCAAATGAACACATGCACTTGTCATTAGCACGGCTGTGGAAGGCAGAGATACAGCATGAATATATATTTCATGCCAGTGATGAGATTCTACAGCACCATTTTTTAATCTACAGGGAGGGTTACACGCCAGGGGGTTGTGGAAAGAAAATATTCCTGTCTTATGAGGGTGTTAGTTCACCTGTTTGACGAGGATATTTTCACAGATACAAGAGGGGTGTGGATGTCCAGTGCTGACCCTCAGGTTCTGAAGGACACACCCAACAGTTAGATCTTTCCATCTACAAAATGAGGACGTGCCTGCTTTCAGTGTCACTGTGTGACAGTCACAATTGCAAGGGAAATCGTAGTTCCAGTGACTTCCTAGTTGATTTTATCCTGAAATGAAATGAGAAGTTGAATCATCAGGCTTTTCACAAAACAAGAAGGTCAAACTAATCTTGTCTTGGAAGTGTTGAAACGTGTTCTCCTGACACTTCTTTGATTGAAACAGAATGTTTTGACCTGCTGCTGCTTAAACACTGTGTTTTAGTTTGACCTGAACCTACACATTTTATTTGGGGTGAGTATTATAATTTCATCTTCCTGTGGTCTTTGTGCACTTCATCAGAGTTGGACTGTGGGCTTTGCTTGCCTGGATTTCCCAACAGGTTGGGTTTCACAGTCAGATTGTCCCTCCTGTGGAACTGCACCTCACAAAAATGCCGCTTGGGTGACGTGACCCAACGAGATTGTTCAGCACAGCAGAGGGAGGAAGAGACCCCCGAGGCCCCTCCAGTACCACAGATGTGACTGAAAACCAAGGAGTTCAGTTCAGTTTGGCCTTGGAACAACACAGCAGAATTTCAGCTGGAATAAAAACTCCAGCAAAACTTTTGCTGCGAGGGAAAGTTTCCCAATGAAAAATCCCTGACAGAAAATTTGGAATCTGCTCTAGTGCTTGTCCTGTCACTGCATCAGCATGTTTTGAGGATTTTTTTAGTATGAAGGCGTGTTTTGTGCATACACAGTTTACAAGAGTTGTAAGCAATATTTTATGTCAGGTTTCTCATGCAAAATGAGTTCACCAGCATCAGTGGGAGATGTTTGTTCACTCCTCTTTAGGGGAAAATATTGGATTAGTGTTCCTTTTCATAATTCATGCACATGGTGTTCTTTTTGTAACTTGGGAAGAGAAATTTCTGATGTGTTTTTATTTTGCGAGGAGGGGACTTTCAATATGCTTCAGATGTCTTGTTTAGTGTTGTAAAGCTCAGTGGAAGTTTAATATACCTTACTTTGCTTCATACAGCTTGCTCATATCCAATAAAAGCAGTGCCATGTCCAGATAGGAATAATAATACACAATGACCTCTCCACAGAGTGGAGTGACAAGCCAGCTGGCAGTTGAATTGATTTGACTGGCTGGATTTTGGTCCTGGGCTGTATAAAATCAGTAGTCACATAACACTGGCTTCAGAAATCTCTGAATTCCTGAAGTTCATACAGTCCTACAAGTGGGACGTGACTCACCAGGCATATCTGAAGCAAACCTTCAATTAAAGTTCTTCGTATTGCTATGCAATCCAGTAAGATACATTTCTAAAAGACCTTTACTGGGTTTAGTCTGTCAAGACTAGTTTTATTTATTTACTTACCATGATCACTGTAGTGGAAAATCTAACCCCTGTTTATTTTTTCCTTAGAAAATAGCCTTCATGGTAGCATTAGGACTGGTTACAACGGAACATTTGGAAGGTAAGAGGGCATGTCTTGTCTCACAGTTCCTTTTTGGAGTGAAATCTTTTCTCTTGGCTGCCCTGAATCTCACAGGATGGCTGAGGTTGGAAGGGAGCACTGTAGTCCAACCCCCCTGCTCAAGCATCATCTGCTCTCTCCCATTTGAGATGGACTTTCAGGTTTTGAGTAGGTCTTGTCATCTTGAGAGTCCCACAGAGTAATGTGTAAAACACTGGTGAAAATCCAGCACTGGTTTCATAGGGATTTAAGCAAATTAGAAAACTCCCTCTCACAAAGAATCCCTTCCCTCCGTTCCCTCCCATTTAGCAAAAAACTTATGAAACTTCCAGTCTGATCCCGTGTTTGTGTGAGAGCTGCTCGCCCAACTTCCCAGTTCTGAACACGAGTTCAAACAAATCCTGCACAGAAACTAAATGCAGCATCACAGAGCTTTCAGTTTGCTTCTCCAGCCTCCCAAAAATACCTTGCAAGGGTTTGCAGATTTGCAGCTTTCTTTGCCTCAGCCTTTGTCAATCTGAAATCACGGATGAGAGGGGAAAGAATTATGGATAAGAGGGAAAAAATCATGGATGAGAGGGGGAAAAAAGAGTTGGTTCAGTAAATTTGCCAGTGGTGTGAGATGAATCAATGGTTTCTTGGCAGAATGGATTATTTCTTATAGAGAGAGATGATGCAACTATTTTTAAGGAAAACGCTGCAGCCTGATGTGTTTTAATTCCATGCTCAGCTCAGACAAGTTGCTGGGATTCCACCAGTATAAGGAGAGAAAGGTGGCGTCTGTGTCAGCTGACAGCGATTCTTGGTCACAAAAAATGTTAAATTGATATATTTACCACCCATCCCATGGACCACAGCCAGCAAAATGCATAGGAAGTTCCAGTGTACTCAGTCTAAGTCTTATGGGCTTTGCTTTAGGCACCTGCTTAGGGGCCTTGCTGACACCTCCCATTTTACACCTTGATTTCTTTGCACTAAGATTCCCTGTTCCTTGGTTTTAAGCCAGGCTGTGAATTAAGGAAGAAATAGCACCTGAATTGTAAGGTCTCCTAATATATACAGCGGGCTTTCTGTGGGTCTTGTTGCCATTTTTCAATGTCTTTCCTCTTTAAATCTGCATTTGAGAGAATCATTTAATGTCCCAGTGACCGAGAATTTGAAAGCAGTTTAAAGAAACTTTAAGCCATCGACGTTTTTAATCCCTTAATGGTAATGGATTGAAATGGAAATCAAAAAGCTGCAGCAATTTTGGGAGAAGATTTATAATCCAAAAAGTGCAAATGACGACTGGTTTCTTGTTTCCTTTGTCTAAGGAAAATAGGACAACATTTGAAATTATGCTGAAGTGCAAATTATGCTTACAACAGAGAGGACTTCATTTTGAATAATTCTTTACCCTTTGATTTTATTGGAACTAATAAATTGTTTGTGTGAATTTAATGCTTATTTTCAAAATGCCAAGTGCTGCTCTGCTCTGTTTGTTCAACACTAAGTGTGGACATGCACATTTTGAACCAAACTGCTGCAACGCTGATCCCGCGGAATCGATTCCTGCAGACAAATTCACTTTTTATATTCCTACTAGCATTAAATAAATGGCTCCAACAAAGAGCTATTTGCTATGGAAAGGGTATTTCTTCATGAGAATTGGTGATTATGACTGTCAGAGATGCCCTTATAGCTTTCACATGCTAAAGGTTATTATTTTAGTGCTATGTCATGTTTACGGTTATCAGCCATTGCTATTTATCAGGAAGAAGAGGTCATTACACAGTTCAGCTTATTTTAATGCTCCTAATGCATTTCTCAATTTCACATTTTTGGAATTAAACTCTATCAAGATTGGGTCATTAAAAGCTTATTCACTCAGTATCATTAACTCACAGTGCTACTGCTTTTCTTCCTCTTATTCATTAATGTCGTGGAGAAGGGCTTGTGTATGGATTTCTCCGTCTGCCTAACAGCCAGAGGAGCATTCCCTGACTGGAGAAAGAGCTCTGTTCTGCAGAGCCTGAGTGTGAGGCATCTTTCGAGGCCTTTCCCAGTAAATGAACACAGCAGCTTCCACTGACTGACAGTCTGTAAGGGGCAGCTTTCCCTGAAGATAAATTGCCATCACTTCAGTGATAAAGCTATCTGCAGATTTATTCATCTTTGTCAAATGTATTACAGTTTAATATTTTTTTCTGCTTGCGTTCTGTTTTTTAAATTAATAAACTAAAGAATGAGGTATCTGAATTCTGTGATGCAGTGGAGGGTTGTAATATACTGAATCTCTTTCTCTAGGCTATTGGAACACCTTTTAGCATTACCATTGTGCTAAAAAGAAAAAGGTAGAAAGCAAAACTTTAAAAGAAGGCACCTTTAGTTCAGGTTGTTCTAAAAATGCACATCTTGATTTACCATAGCAAAATAAAAAAACTGAAATATTTCCATCTAGGTTACTGAAATGTTTATGATTTAATTAGATAAAACAAATTTAATTCAACTTTCTTACATCCTGTTTGGAAGGTACACAACAGTTTTTAGCAGAAGTGGCAAGTAACAAAAGATACCACACCGCTGTATGCTTTTGTTCTGTCTAGGTGTGCTTGTTGACAGACCCACTCTTAGATGTATGTAAATACATGGATATTTTTGTTCAGTTTCCATAAATAAAGTGCTGACACCGTGCTCTCCCTTCCTGATGGCTGCACAGGGTGATACACCTCGAGCTGTTTCAGGTCATTCCTCTTTCTCTCTCTTCCCATCTATTCCCACTGCTGTTCCTTTCCCCCAGCCAGCTTTTCTCTCTGTGCCGTGGCAGTGCCTCTCCCAAAGCTGCACTCCAGGTCTCTGCCACGTGTGTGATTCCAGCAGGTGTTTCTGTTGCCTTGGTGAGAGCAGGTACCAGAGAGACTCTGTCTTTGACTTGGGGTTGAGAAGGGCAGAGATCTACAGGCCCCCCCAAGTCCTTTTGGGGGGCTCTTGGCCCAGCTGTGTGCACAGAGAGCTGGCTCCAATTCTTTGTTTCTTTTTCTGGGCCGGTGAAAAGTCACAATGCTGTATCCCTGTGACCATTTCTGGAAGACAAGGCCTGGGCTGCCCCATCTCCAGGTGTTTCCCTGCACCACCACAGGGGTGCTGAGGTGCTGCGAGCCCTGGGTTCACTCAGTGGGTACCTGGGGCTGCTGAGCTGCAGGAACCACAGCTCCAGCTCCCACTGCTGAGCCCAAAGAGCCAGCAGAGGGCTGTTCCCTCTGCTTTTCCCAGCACCAAGGCACGTGGTTCCTCTGCTGTGACCTCTCTGTTCCCTTACAAGAACGCTGACATCAAGAACAACCATCTCTCTTCTGGTGGCTCTGACGGGCTGCTGGATGTGTGTCTGACACTCACCCTGCTGCCACTGAGGCCTGATTCCCTTCAGAGGCTGTCAGAGAGGCTGGAAGCTTCAGGATGGAGATTTCAGCACAGACAGATGAGCATTTCATAGGAAAGACTTTTGCAGCGGGACAGAACTGTTACCCAGACCAGGTCCTCACACACAGTGACCAAGTGTCCAAGACGTGAGTGACAACACTGACACCCTTCACTGTAGCAATGCTGAAAGTGGTACATGGGAATGACCAGCGTTTGGAAAGGGTGCCTGGAAACCAGACCTAGGTGTTGGGAATCCAATTCCCATGGATCATAACCACCCTGAAAGCTGGGCTGTGCCTTGCTGTTGGATTACAGATCGTGCTCCGTATCCCGAAGGCCATTATCTGGTGCTGAGGATGTTCTGAGATGGACCCATTTAGCTCAGACACTGAGGAAAGATGCCAGACCTTCTGCATAACCAGATGGTGTCCTAAGTTCCTGTTGGGTGTGTTCCTCTGGGCTGAAGGACTGGCTGCTGCCAGTTCCTCTCCTTCTGAGATTTGCTTAGGGCAAGACAGAACAGAGGTATCACCATTGAGGGGGTGTTTAGACCAACAGGATCCCTCTGGCACCTCAACACGGAGTCTAAACATATAATATTCACACAGGAAACATTTTGGAATAGAGCACACACTTCAAGTCTTGGGATGGATGCTGGGGAACTCTCCTTGCTAAAGTATGTCTGCTCTTCATTGTCAAAATAACGGGCTATAAAAGACGTGCTTGTAATAAATCTCACCAGTCTGAACTGATGTCAAGAGCTGGAGAGAGAAATTCCACGTGATGTAAATGGAATCCCAGCTCAGATAAAAATAGCACTAAACCTGCAGGTTTCTGTGGTTGAGTAATCTGCTCCCTCTTTCTGTGTGTGTTTACAGAGGGATGCACGTGGCTGATGGTTGCTAAACGCTGTCCTCAGCACGTGCTGCCCTGGAGAGGTGTTACCATTTTCTACAAGGGAGTACCCCTGTGTGTCACCCTTCTCTGACCAGGGCTGCAGCCCAAAGAGCCCATCGTTGTGCTGCTGTTTGCAGTGGCACAGATACGTGCACAGCCCATAACAATTTACATGCTCAGGGTTATAAATTTGTGTGGTTTGGGGTGGACAAATCGTCACGCTCTAGTTAGAACTGAATCTAGCCATGCCATTCCAGCCATGCTTCCTCCAACCTCCACAGAGGAAAAGCAATGTAAATTGAATTAAAAAAGGATCTCTCTGCTTTCATATGATGGGAATTACAAGGCTTAATTGCTTTAAATGCTTCCTTTTTGTTAGTAGCAGACATCCGGAGTACTTTGACAGCTCTCTGATGATGCTTGCTGAATACGTGTCTGAAGGGATCATAATAACAATCTTGTAGGGCAGCAGAAGTCCACCTTGAAGGAAGGAAAAAAATAAAAAATGCCTGTGTTCTGAATCTCACAAGGAAAACCTTATTAATGTCAAACCTTGAACTGCAGCAAATATCAGTGCTGATGCAACCCAATTATGCTTTAGAAACCGAAACTGAACACAAAGCCCAGGGGGTTGAGGGTAAGAGCATCTCGCTTAACAAGTTAGATCTGCATTTTCCCCTGATGAATGAGAAATCCACAATTCCTGTTTCTTTCCATGGTTACAGAAATCCAGAGCAAGCGTCAGGAAAGAAAGAGAAGAAGCACAGCCAATCCAGCCTACAGTGGACTCTTGGAAACAGAGGTACTTTATCATTCACTTTTTTTGCCACAGTTCTGTTTCATGTCAGTGAAAGGTCTAAGTGCTTCTTATTGCAAAAATATATATGAATGCAGAACCACACAGTCACTTGTAAAGACTTACTGATGTGGAAAAGAAAGAAAAGATCTCAGTAGCTAAGCAACAGGTTTTCACCCCAACAACATCACTTGCTTCAAACTAGAATTCATCTTAGTTTTAATAAAGGCCAAAAGGACTAAATGAATGTGGGACCTGATTACTCTTTCACCCACGCAGGCAATCCCTTTAGGTCAGAACTGAAGAACAGAAGCTCTGCATTATGTTCAAACTTGCATTGCTATTTCTCTTTTCCTATGTGCCAAATAATAAATGAAGAACTTCACTTTTTTTATTAGTGGAATTCATAAAAGGGATGTGTTGGTTTAAGAATCAGTGTGCTCTGCAGGGGGTTTAGAAGCCTGCATAATAAATATAATAATGCATAATTAAAAATAAAAATGCTCTGGATAATATCTGTTGTCTGTTACACTTATAGTAACATCGGAATTTGGTCCTGCATGATATTGGATTGCAAACCTGGTGTAAAAGCAGCATATAAATAGGCTTAACTTTTTCTGAAAATTTTCTTTGTTTCTGAACTGACTTATATACATTTATTCAGCTAATTAAAATTTCACTCTTAAAATTTCAGCACAGTTTGGGGTTGCTGTTTGAACTTCCTGCTGAAATGAAATTCAGTTGCAACCATTTAAGCAGAATTTCTCTGTGTTCTGAGTTCTCAAAGCCTAAAGAAAGCGATTTTCCTTTGTTTAGGTACAAGCCATGCAGTGTTTTTGGTTTGCCAACAGTTCAGATTTCTGCCTTTGTTGGCAGACAGCAGACAGATGAGACCAAGAAGAAACCCACCTCTGTAGTCGAGCTGCTTAGTCACCTTTTTTTGAAAGTATTGGAGGTTTTTATACTCCAGAACAGCACTTGAATTCTTCAGAACTCAACTCTTCTCTTCAGTGCCAATACTGACGTCCACACACCCAGTATTTAACACAGGAGGAACTCAGCCTTGCTAGCATTAAATTTGAAGTGCCTTAGACCTTTTTGTCTTGATAAAATTTTGAAAATACTTGCATCAGAGTTTTGTGGCAAATGGGTGTTTGTGAGAAACTCAGTTATCTTGGGGCAGAGGTGGAAGAGAAGATGGAGCAGGTCTGCTGCACCTCTGGTTCATCCTTCTCATGGTATCTGCTCTCAAAAGCATGTCCTGAAGTGAAGGATGGGGTGGAGGAAGGAATGTCTGTGGAGGAGTCCTGTGGCTGATCAGCTGTGTCCTCATTAGGAACTGTCATTAAGGACTGACCATGGGGAATGCCATCCCAGTACAATGGAGGCAGATGGTTTTTCTCTGATCAATTAGCTGCTCAGATTGATTTGCTAATCAGTGAGTTGAGGTATTTGTGGCATTCCAGGCATTTTGGCGCAGTTTAATTTAGTCTTCTGAATGATCTTTAATTCATGATTGTTTAAATTGGAATTGCATATAAATTAGACTTTTTATTTGCCAACGCCCCTCAGAACGGCAGGAGCTCAGCATCTGCACTGGTGCTGATTTCCTTGCTTGCAAAAATGGGATCATGCTCTTATGCCTTCACTTGAATGTTGTGTTTCTTCTTTTCAAAGTTTTGTTCCTAAAAAAAAAATGAGATACCATTCTATTTCCCTACCCTCAGTAACCTTTTTTTATTTTTACATAGGAAAGGGTAAAGTTTCAGGCTTGTTAATTTTTTTTTGAGAAAGAAACATCTATTCAAAATTCATTTAACAGACTGGCAGGCACTCATTTAGAAGAGAACCGTTTACTCACTCCAGAATAAACCATTTGTTAGCAAAACCCCTCTAATTTTCCTCCAAGCAGAATCTAACAATGTCTAATGGAGGGAAGTGGTGCTGTTCCCAGTCCTGCTGTACAAGTATTGGATGGCTCAGAGAGACACTCAGGGCTTGCACAGACTGCTGATGAAGGCTGCTTTGCTCTAGAGCAGCATCTGATGGGTTAAACATCTCACCAGGTTTGCAGTGGCCTGTGTTTGTAACTTTGGTGACCTCAGCAGGTTGAAATCACTGTCAGCTCCTCCAGGTCGTGCATGTTCACTCCTGAAAGGGAAATGTTCTGCTTACAAGCACTGCTTGCAAACTCAGTGTGTTCCCCTGAACTGCAGGCAGGTGTCACAAAGGTAAAGGTGGTTTGCCTGCAGGTGGGAGGTCCATCACCATTTCTGTGCATTCAAATAAAGATGTCATGTCACAACAACAGTTTATTACGCCGTTTTCCCCCTCATGGATATCCTGAAACCCCCTCAATAACATTTGCAATTCGAATTTCTCATTTAATGCACATCCAACTGCTCCGTGAAGAACTTGCTGGGAAGGTGAATCGTGCAGCTGTTTGTTTGACTGTCCCCTTGGCCAATCCAAGCAGCTTTTGGAGAGCTGGTTGGGTGTGAGGGAAGCCCGTGGAGATGGTTAATGTGAAATGTGAGGGGCAAGGAGAGCCCTTTGCAGTGACACTGTGGTTGGTTTCTCTCCCCCTGCAGCGGAAACGCCTCGCGTCGAATTATTTGAATAACCCCTTGTTCCTCTCGACAAGAGGTAAGCACATTTTAAATGGATATACTGCTATTCTAATGACATGTTAAATATTTATTAGTAGGGTTTCATCTGACTTACTGCCAGGATACCAGAGGGCATTACTTTGTGTAAGGTCCCTGCACTTTTTAGTGTGGACGGAAAATAGATGGTTTTCCTGCAGAAACAATTGAAGGATAAGGCTGAAGGTCACAGTCGTGTAGAAATGGATCCAAAGTCTCTGCAATCAGAGGAAAATCTGATCTCTGGTGGTGTAAGAACCACGTGGTGAGAGAACTGATTGAAGAAGGCAGTGTTGCCAACGCCAAGTCCTTAAAAATATATCTTGAAAAATTGGGGTGTAAAAAATAATTACTATTTTTGGCTTTTCATTTGCCTCTTTTCACCAGCTTTAAGGAACTCCTGTCCACCCTCAAGGGCTAGAAATTTCCCATATCTTTTGCTTTAAAAACAGTGACAGAAACCCCCATGGTTTTTCTGATTCCAAGAGCTGGAGCTGGTAAATCCAGATTTGATGACCTTGAAGATTCCTTCCAATCTTGCATTTATAAGAACTTCAGACTCTGAAAATGTCACTGTAGAAACCTCGAGAATTAACAACTCAGGGGAGCCATTTGGGGATGCTGCTGATGAGCTGGTGGGAAGAAGCCCATCCCAGGAAAAACGTGCAGCACAGAGGAGGCAAAGAGTTGGGAGATGAAACTCAGAGAACATTGGGCACAGTTTAACTCTTCAGGCAAGGCCATGTAGTATTTTAAGGAAACAAAAAGAAGCCTGAGTTGAGGAGAGGAGAGTTTCAGCAGAGGAGAGGAAGCCAGTAAAGAAATGTGATTCTGCCCTTGCCCTTGTTTTGCCTTTATAACTCACTCTACCGTGGTGCATTGGAGGGAAGGGAAGGCAGATGTTTTTCTAAGTGAAATATTATTTCAGTATTAGGAGCATTTACAGGGGTAATTACAATTAAGACATGAAGTTTTGGCAGTTTTTCAGTGTTTTGCTTGACATCCCTGTCAGGTGTCACGTTTTGTGCTTGAGGTTCACCTCTGTGGCCCTGCCTTGAATTCCTGCACCGCAGGAGCCCTGGCTGAAATGCAGCAGTGCTTCTCCCTCCCTTCAAAACTTCCCCTGCCAGATGCAGGCACTTGCCCTACTTACCATATGCCTCTAATGTGTGGGGTCTCAGAGGACAGGAGAGGTTGTTGCACAGTAAACAGCTCTGATGACATCCCTCTTAGCAGGAGCCCAGGCTCGTGTGAGCCCCACTGGAAAGAACATTATTCCTGGCTTAGTTTTATCTTCAAAATTAAAATTGTAATTTATTATTTGTCTTATCATAGCACTTGTTTTACCCATGTAAACACATGTGAAAAGCCAGGAGAGGATGGTAATGTTGGCAAGCCGTGCTGGAGCCCCTGGGTGGGTTTTATTTAGGTTGAGGTTTGAAATCTCTGACCTTCTTTCCACCATATGATTCCCATTTTATTTGCAAGGAAGTAGACAAGTGTCAGAGCTCCAGTGATGCAGCTGTCTCGGAGCTGCCTGGAAATCAGCACTCTCTCTCCTTAATTGTTAATTCCTCTTTGTAGTCCTGTATCTTTGGTTTTTTCCAGGATGCAGAATCTCTGCTGGGATTCTGCATATTCTGAGAGTTTTAAGCTGCACTTCTTTATAGCAGAATTCCCCATGTCTGCAGGGTGTTTTCAGCCATATGCACCCTTCTGGATGCTGTGCAAGCTCTGAACTGCAGGCAGATGCTGTCCCAGACAGTTCTCCACCTTCAGTGCAGAGATGGCTGCCCCTTCTCTTATAAACTGCTTCTTCTTTAAAAATATTGCCTTCTGTTTAATTTTTCATCAACTCGAAGGCAGAAGTGGATGTATTTTAAAAAGTTTAAAACTTTGTAGCAAAAGTGAGCTGGAAAGACAGATAAACAAACCAGGAAAAAATCCCCATGACGTCCAGGAAACAACTGTCATTTCTGGAAATGCAGAAGGAGGAACAATTCTTGTAAATTTTGATCAAAACGTCAATTAATCAGGATTCATTTGTCTGAAAACGTCTTACCTGAAATGAGGTCGTGTCCCCTGACATGTATCATTTGTAGAAAAGACTCTTCAATTATCAAGCCTCTGTTTATCTGAATAACATTTATATCCCCCGAGTAATCGTGGTGTCATATCGTGGTGGCCCTCTGTGTGTGTATTTGGGGATATGAAGTGACATCTACAGATTTTATTGGTCTCTGATTGTTTATGGAACTCTTTGCCAAAGTATTCTACAATTCTTGGGGAAAGCAGAGAAATTTATGGAAGAAAAAAAAAGTCTATCAAAGGCTGTTAAAGACAAAACATGAAGATGACTCCCAGGTATGAGGGATCACACTGGGGCAGCTGTATTCCCATTGGGATCAGAGAGGGAGCTGAAGAAGGACAGAAGGAGGGAAATATCAGTTTGGTTTCTTCTCTTTAGTCCAAAGAAAGGCCTCTCCATCAGGTGTTTGTCACTGGGACACTGTGCAGTGTGCACCAGCCTCGTGCAAGGACCCGAGGGAATGGCTGGAGCTGTGTCAGGGCAGGCTCAGGTTGGATCTCAGGGAAAGGTTCTTCTCCCAGAGGGTGGTTGGCACTGCCCAGGCTCCCCAGGGCAGTGGGCACAGCCCCAAGGCTGCCAGAGCTCCAGGAGGGTTTGGACAACACTGAGGGACAGGGTGGGATTGTTGGGGTGTCCTGGGCAGGGGTTGGAGTTGGGCTGGATGATCCTTCCAGCTCAGGATATTCTATGAATCCATGATTCTGTGAAATTAGTGGCAAAAATCACAACCTGCTGGGTGGTTTCCACAGAGCTGTTCACGCCTTCCAGCTTTTTTTATTTTTGGACTGAAGTGTGATGAATCCCACCAATATTTTTTTTATGAAAGGCTTGGCCTGGTTTTAGTGGGCTCTGATGGTTGGTGCTCTTATCAGGCTGTGAGTGCAATCACTACAGACTCGGTTCATCAAAAGGTCACTGGCCTTTTGGGGGGGAGTATTTTGATGAGGAAGAGCTGATGATGCCATCAGGCTCACCCCCCAGTTTTGGACCATTTTGGCCATGAATCAGCTGAACATTTAAACATGTGTTTAATGGTAAGTGAGAGGCACCCATTTCATACTCCTGTTAAGTGCCTTGCTGGTTCAGGGCCACACTGCTCATGCCCCAGCAGGCTCAGGTCCCTAAGGAACACTTTTTGACTGCTGTGGAGAAGAGCTCTGGGTGAAAATGTCTGAAAATTTGAAATAGCACGTGCTCATCAGGCTGTGACCCTTTAGCACCAGAACCTCTGGGCGTGGGATTCCTGCAATGCACAGTTTTAAATCTCAAATGCTAATTCCACTGCTTGCTGCTGCGTTCTTTCCTGCCCATGTGAGTTTTGGCAATGTCCTGGTTTCCTGTGTCACAGCCCGACTAAAATTGCTCCCCTAGCTGAGAACCAGCAGTCACTCCAGCAATGTATTTGCCACTAATCTGTTCTCTGCCCTTCTTTTGTATGCTAGCAAATGAGGATCCATTCTGGAAGGTATGTGCAGTCAAGTTTGTGTATTAGCAGTGTCTTCCCCATCACTGTGTAATTCAGTGCTTGCTTCTGATTATTGTAGGTGCTACCAAGGTACCAAATTTCGGCATCCTCGTGTCCCACTTAACTAAATATTTGATCCCCTAAGCTAGAATTTCAGAGGTGAACTCTTTCATATGCAAGGCTTGAGTTTAATCCTTTTGTAGAAGCCACTGATTGAGAAATTGCTAGCCCAGATTTGTGGGTTTAATGAAAATTTTAAGAAAAATGAGTAACTGTTCTAGTTTCTAGAGATTAAATCTCTTTACCTGGAGGTTAAAATTAAGATTTTCGGAGTTTTTAAAGAGTAGTATTTTGGAGAGTGATTTTTTTTTTATAGGACTGAGTTAGAATTTAAGATGTAAGCCTGACTAAAACCATCATGAAACATAATTAATATTCCTAAAAATGAAAATATGCTTTTGGAATTAACAAACATATAAAATTATTATTCTCCTTCCTGGAAAACCAGTAGGAAATTTAGGGTTTTTCACAATGCCTGAAAAGACATGAGAGTTTCAAAATCAGTATCTCCTTTATTAAAATGCACTTAATTATACAAAGAGTAATTAACGTTGCCACCAGATTAGCATAGCAATTTACTACATGACACCGTAACTTTGTTGATGAGTCTTAGTTCGTTTTATGTATTGCTTCAGACAAAGCACTAATCAGTCTTGTTGGAGAAAGGTTGTCAGAGCAAGTCTGAGCAGAGAACAATTAGTGCCAGGGAGAAGAGAGGAGGCTCCGGAGGAGTTCCCGAGGAGGGTACAGAGCCCAAGGCTGTGCTCTCCCCAGCTGCTCCTTGGGGCAGTGGGCATGACACATGGAACTGGGCCTTCTCCCCAAGAAAAGAACCCTTTTCTTGCTTGTTCCCTTCCGCTTTGGAGTCGAAGGACGAGTGATCCCCAGGTTAACTTTGTCCTGTGCTTCAGAAGAGAGACACAGAGATACACGTGTGGGAGTGACACACTGGCAAAAAAGAAGTGCAATAATTCCCGTGTCATGAACTGGCTACATTAGTCAGCTGCCCTCCTGTGTTTGATTAGTTGGGTTTTATGTTTCTCTTTCAATTTATGGAACTTGTTTCTGGCTCTTTGGTTTGTTTGTGTTTGTTGTTATCATACATTATTTCTCTCTCCTGCAGAGGTCAGGGTCCCTTTGACGATTAGTTTCTGTGTTTGCAGCCTGTCTGCTGCAGTAGAGGCTTGGTGTGCTGTACAGAGAGAAATTCTCAAGGGCTGAGCTCACCCAAACCACCCTTCTTCTCTTGCAGAGTGAGATCCACCACGATGAGCACTGCACTGCTTGCAAGCGTGGAGTTAACTTGCAGCCCTGTGGCACATGTCCCAGAGCATATCACCTCAACTGCTTGGACCCACCCCTCAAAACTGCCCCCAAGGGGGTCTGGGTCTGCCCAAAGTGCCAACAGAAGGTGAGATACATGGAGTGTGGCATGCCAAGGAGGGAAAACGGGACAAACCTCCAATTTGTCAACCACTAAACTGATCTAACCCATGGTCCCAGCTTAGGGGACTGCATTAGCTGCAGAAGTACTGAGAGGCTTTTAGTATAGCTTGAAGGATTTATTTCTGGTATTTTCATCGTCCTAGACTTAGTTTGCCTGTAATCACATCTGCTAAGAATTGTCCTTTTAAAATGTCCCTTCGATTCCTTTGGCTTTACAATTTTTTGTAAACACCACCAGCATTGCCTGACAAGGACTGTAAACCTTGGAGAGGAGGGAGGCATTGTCAGGAGTTCACCAGTGGGTCTGAAAGCTGTGAGGAGAACACTTCCTTTCCTTTAAATCATGTTACTTACACACAGCTGTCGATCACAGTCATGGCAGAAGTGCTGGTCTGTCTAGTTGCTGTGAATAATGCTGATTGCACGAGCAAGAAAACAATTACTGAAACACCCCAGTGTCACTAAAGTGTAGATTCTGTGCCTCAGAGTTCTTTATGTTCAGCTTTGAGATCACTGTCATGTTCTGAGACAAGGACCCAAGATCTGGTCCTGCAGAGCTGCAAGGCTGGAGGAAGAGAAATGTTAACGTGTGTCTTTGTGGAGTCCTAAATTTTTACTGTTTCCTGGGCTTATAGGTGTTAAAGAAAGATGACAACGTGCCATGGACTGGAACTCTGGCTATTGTTCACTCCTATGTTACTCATAAAACAGGTAGGGATTAATGCAGATGCTGACAAGGGATTCCCTGCCATTTGAGTCCCTCTCAGCAGTAGTATTAAAGTAGTGCTGCAACGCTGCCAGGTCTGATGGTGGCAGTGAGCAAAGGGCCATAAGGGGCTGGGAACAGAAAGCCACTTTCTCTCCCTTTCCCCTTGATCTGCTCCTTGCCATCTTCCCTCTGAAAGGAAGCTGAGATGGAACTGTCAGGACCTTCAGTCTCTGGGGGAGACTGTCATCAAAGTGGTGCCTTCCTGAGAACAGGGCTGAAAATGGGATTTCGAGGCAGAATTGTAGTGCAGGAGGCAGAGAGGCACAGTCAGGCTAAGCAGAGCCATGTAATTGGGTATGTAGCACAGTGTCTCAGGCACTACAGCAACACCAGCTTCCAATTTTTTCAGTACTGTTGGGTATGGCAGTCATTAGTCTCATTGCTGTGTGACACCTGTGCATTGATCATTACTCTTTCAGTTCCCTGTTGCTCTCTTACAATGGGCTGTTTGGGGCATAAGATCATATCCTAAGGAGCTTTGGCACTGTTTCAGTTGTGCTTTCCAGCAGGGTCACAAAGCACTGCCATTACAGGTGGCTGACCTGTTCTTAAACACCATCCGCCTCTTTCTGGGAGACACGTGGTCTAAGGATGAATTTTAACTAATCTCAAAGATGGACTGGAGCTTTTGGGTTGTCCTGTGCACTAACCATGGGCACAGCTGCACAGCCCTGCTGTCTGTCCTTTCCTTACCCTCTGCATCCTTAATCTCATTGTTCCACAGTCAAAGAAGAAGAGAAGAGAAAGTTATTAAAGAGAAGCAGTGAGCTGAAGAGTGAGCACAGGCAGTTAGAAGAAAAAGATCGACTTCTCAACAATGCAGTGAAGGTAGGACACCTGACTGGGGACACAGAGTCTCCTGCTGAGATGTTTATAAGCATTTGTGCCTGAAAAACTGGTGGTTTGTGGCTAGAAAATGATTTTTGCTCCCAAGCTGCAGAGTTTCAAGTGTGACTGTGTTTCTCTCAGAGGAAATACATGTGGATTTCCTTTAGGCACAAAAGCCAACTGCTCTGGCAGGCTGAGGAGGAGAAATCACTTGAGTTCCTGTGGCAAATACACACTCAAACCCCCACCCCCACCCCCAGATAGCAGGGGCTGCCTTCCTTGTAATGCCATAGATAGCTCTGTGACTTCTAGGCACTTCCATTCTCCAGGGGAAAAGTTTAGCCACAAGCATCTCCTCTGGGGGTAGCTGCTTGTCCATTAGCTCAAAACTCTTGAGGTGAAGTAGAAATAACCATCTTTATTTGCCTCAGGAGCTGAATGTTGTAGCACCTCTCCCTGACTGAAAATGGGTTCAATAATTTTCATCATTCAAACTAATTTCAAAGCTAAATGTTGGTTTGAGGTGTCTCTCACAAATATTGTGCTATGAGGACCACTCTCTAGCTAAAAGGGCTGAATTCAAAGCCATAATTCCTATCCTTCATGGCTGAAGGAACTGATTTGGGGCTACCTGACTCTTAGTTGGCATGGCAGTCTCAATAAATATTTGACACTTCCTTACCCTGGAAAAATCAAAGTGGCAGCTGCAGGAGTAACAGGTCACTGCTTGTTTTACCAGTGCAGTTATCCAGAGGGGGCATGTTAAAATATTTATCACATTTAAAACAGAGTGGAAGGAAAAGCAATAACTTATTAAAAGACATCACAGTGGGGAATATTCCCTGTAAGTGTGTTCAGGCACCATGAGCACTAATGGAAACACATGTGTATGAAGTAGGTAGAAGAGGTCAGTGGGATGAGGAGTTTGGAAAAAGAAAAGCAGTCAGTTCTCAGGTGTGTATCTAAATCAGTAAGATTTCTACCTAAGCAGAATGGGGTTCTTTCAGTGGGCAGCACTATTTTATTTAAATGGTAATATCAACCAATGATTAAATTTACTGGAAAGGTATCCACTTGAAAGGGAAAAGCACTTAAAGGTGTTTCAGCACAGAGCAATTTCATTCTGACATTTTAACAGAGATTTACGTTAAAAAAGAACCCTCTCATGCACACCACAGGTGCAATGGTGTTATTTGGTAAAATCAGACCATGCTTTAGCCTTCACCTGAGATTTCATCTCTCTAAACCAACTCGGAGCAGCTCCACACAGCTGCTTTCCAAACAAGTTGACTCTCAAGTGAGCATTTCCCAGTTCCCCAGGACTGGAGAATCCCTGCCCTGGGCAGTCTGGACCACGGCCAGACAGGAGCAGTCTGCAGACAAGTAGCCAGTTTTGCCAGACCCCTGGGCCCACTGGGAGAGAGAAAACAGGAGGTTTCAGATAGCAGAGGCCACTGGACCATTCCATGCAGCAGACAGGCTCAGGGTTTGGGTCTCTCACCTGGTCCCTCACAGAAGAATGTGATGTTGGCTGCAGCAGTCTGTGGTTTGGGAGGGAAAGGGGAATTGCTGATTCTCCTTATCTCTTCTTGGAGAAGCGGGAGATTTGGGATGCCTTTGTTTGGCCCCTGCTCTCGTGCCAATTTGCATGGAGGTTTGTATGAAACGTTCCAGGTGGTCACAGGGTGCAGTTTGGCCACCCCACAGGACAAGGGCTTTCTGGGTGTAACAGCTGTATCTCACAGCAAAGTTTTCTGCCACAAAAACATCAACATGTAGTGAGAGAAATATTAACATTTAGTGAGATCAGTGCATCTTCACAGTACTCACTCCCTGGAGCGTGTGGCACGTACAAAATGCATCGTGGTGAGTTTGACCCCTCAGTGCCTTTTGGTGAGGTTGAGAGACCCCACTGGTGCCTTTGGTGCTTTCCAGTGGCACAGCTATTGCACTCCCATAGCAGCCACCCCTGTGCAGTGAGTGCAGAAGGTGCTTGTGCCAGGCTGGCCACGGGATGAGCTTGGAAATGTCCTCTAAATGCATTTGGACCGGGGAGAATACTGTTCCCTCAGACAGCTGCTGCAGTGTGTGCAGCACTGGTGATTACTCCATTTGTTAAGCTGGGGGTTTGCTATCCCCAAAGGAGAATATACTTCATTTGAGCAGGACGTGCACTCGAGGCACAAAAGGATGTTTGGTGGAGATGTTTGACACCAGTTTGAATGTGCTCTCAGCCTTTCCTTCTCTTCATTTGACAGAAATGCTTAGAGCTAAAAACCAGCCTGTTGGCCCAGCAGAAAGGGACTCAGTCATCACTGGAACGTCTCAAAACCCTCATTAGACTGATACAAAGCGAGCAGATGATTCAGGTTACCATGACGACCACCACCACCTCCTCCCTGCTGTCGGTGCCCTGGATGAAGCCCTCCCCTGGCCCCGCTGCCATGCACAAAGCCCTGCAGCCCTCGCAGGGCAGCAACTGAGGCGCGGCCCGGGGCAGCGGGGACTTTCTGCAGGAGCGGAGCAGAGCGAGCTCCCCGGGACCGCGGGAGGGGAGGGCGAGCCTTGCAGCCCAGCCAGCCCCGTGTGCCGGGGGCTGCGGCGGCGGGTTCCCCACGGAGCGGGTCTGCTGCGGGCTTTGTGTCTGCCAGCACCTTCCGTGCTTGCGAGATTTTGTTTTGTTCTGTTGGCCTTAAACTGTCTTTACGCCCGAGGAGAGGGATGGTGGGGGGCAGGCAGTGATGGTGGGGGGCAGGCAGGCTCTCCGTCCTGCTTTGAGGGGGGACTTGTCGATGCACAGAGTTAGTGAGGTAGTGGGGAAGTAGTGGGGCTGAAAGCTGTGGTGGGAGGGGAATTGGGATCCCCGAGGTAACCGGGAACTGAACTACTTAGGACTTGACACGGATTGTTTTCAGAGGAACAAAGTTGGCCCCGTGGGTTCGGGGCCGCCGTGGACACTCACAGAGCCTTCGAAACAAAAAGATCCTTTTTTTCAGTATTATTAGAGTTGAGAATTGCAGATATTTAAATAAAGAAACTGTATGAAGTTAGCGTTTCTAGTAAAATATTGAAGTATTTTCATGCTGATGCTTCTGTATATGCGTTCCGAAGTATTTAAAGAAGTATGACTGTAAAACTCCTTACTTTTTTGCAGGTCCTTTTTACTTATTTTGCTATCAGTGTATTTTTCTCATGGAGTTTTTGTGCAAGACTTAGCATAAACCATGATAGTGGATATCTTTGGCAGGTTGGGTTTCATTTTTTAAAGAGGTTATTTTGGGGTTTCCTTTTTTTTTTTTTTTGGTTAATTTTTTTTGGTTAATTTATTTTTTTTAAAGGAAAAAAAAAGCAAATAATTATTCTGGGTTTTGTTTCTTGACAGTACAGATAATATGCCAAAAAGATAACTTTACATTTTTGTACTGCATTTTTATTGTTAAAAATACGTAGCGTGATTTTTTTTAATTTTTTTTTTTTTTTTACTTGTAGAAATATCTGCTGAAATGGTACAGGAAAAGAAAAAAAAACTGCCTCAAGGGGTTGTTTCTGGAACTGGATAATATCAAGAGTTCTGGGGGAGGGACAGGGCATGGAAAATTGAAAGGGGTGGGTTTTGTTTTGGTTTTTTTTGGAAACTTGATTCTTTTTTAATGTTTTGTTGGATTTTAGCATATTTGGGGAGCGTTTAGCGTTAGCCTGAGGAAACCCCAGTGCACCTGCTGGTTTCACTAGATAGTCTTCCTGATTCTGCAAGGGCCCTCCTGGCCCCCCCAGGCCACGGCCCCCCTTCCTGTGGCTGCCTGGGAAGGGAGTGATGGGCACCCCGGGTTTCCCAGAGCACCCCCGGGTGCCCCGTCCCTGCCCTCTCTGAGGTCTCGTCAATCAGCACAACAGCTACTTAAGGAAAGCCACCAGAGCACGACCCGAGGCTGGTCTCTCACATCAACATATCACACGGTGCCGAATACCTTCTTTTTTTTTTTTTTTTTGTTTGTTGTCGCTGTTTTTAATTTAAAAAAAATAAAAAAAAACCACGCGAGGGACTGGCTTTTTCCGTCGCCCATCACCAGGCAGCACGTGGTCCCTTCAACCATTTTCACAACTCCGGGAGAAACTGTGCAGTACTATACAAATCTATTTTAATACACAACACTCGGTTGAACAAGATTTTTATATTCTTTTATTGATGAACAAAGTGAACTAAGTAAAAAAAAAAGACACAATTGTTATACATTGGTTATTGTACGCCAATTATGCATTCTGACGTGGCTTGCAATGTAAATGTTTTCAGGTTTAATGAGTTTTCTTTTTCCTTCTCAGATGAATTTAAAAAAAAAAAAAAAAAAGGAAAAGCGTGGAAGGTTGAATATGTGAAGAATTTCTGAAGAACTGTCTTGGACTGTTAAAAGTAGTTATTTTGAAAAGGGGACTGTCCAGTGGATAGTGTGCATAGGAAAAAAAAGTGTTTGTCTTAAATATGCCAATGTAGTTTTACTTCTTTATGATGCATTAAACTTGACTGACAATTTAATGGCAGTGTTGTCGTGGTGGTATTGCCTCTGAGGGGACACAGCATGTCCTCCCCTGGCCACACTCTGGCTGAGGGGGGAAGAAATTTGTGTTGATTTCTCCACCATTCTCTTCAATTTTCATATTTAAACGATGCCAGAATAACTACAGTAATTTCTGCTTTCCTTCTTCTGGGAAAGTGAGCTCTTCCCTGAGGCCATGGTGTCTCCCAGGCAGGGCACCCTGTCCAGTCCCTTGGAATAATTGCAGATCTGCTGGCAGACCCCTGGCCTTTGGTTTCAGACCTGCACTTCCAGGTGCTCTTCAAAGTGTGCCGTGGCCCCATTTTGTAAAGTCATTTATAAATCACTTCTAGCTGCAGTAAAGAATTAGAGGGCCCTCACAGGAGCTGGTGGTTTTCTGGCCGCCGGAAGGGACGGAACTTCCCAATAAAATTCCCAAATGAAATCAATGTCACAGCTGCATAAAGCCTCCCCAGTGGTCAGTGCTCGTGCAGAGCAGAAGCAGGGTTGGTTGGGTTTGGGTTGGTTTTTTTCTGTCAGGGGTAGGGGATAAAGAAAAGGGTTTGGGTGGTTTTTTTATAGTCTGGGTATGTGTTGCCTTGTCTTCCCTTCCTGGCAGTGCCATCATTTAATTTTGGGCTGCAGTCACCAGGGGGGCTCAGCACTGTGCCCCTGCTTTCCCTACAACTCAGCTGCCTCCTCCTCCCTCCCAGCCTGATTTTTCCTAACACTGCTTCCAGCATTAGAAGACACCTCTCCCTCACACCAGCAAACCCCAAAATCGTCTGCAATCATCAGCAGCAGCCGTCTGGCACCACCCTAACCTACAAACTCAGCCCTGTGCTGTCAGACAGGAGCCAATTACAGAGCTCTGCGTGTTGCCTGAATAATTAATGCAGTTGCAAGGGAGCGTAGGCTTGGGGTAGGCTTTAATCTTTGATAGCAATTTAAATGGAGGCTTTGGTGGAGGTTTGCAGGAGCCCCCAGCCTCCCTGTCCCTCGCCGTGGCACCGGGCATTGTCTCTGAAAGGAACCAGGAGCTGCGGGGTTCCCAGCCTCCCCTCCCAAGCCAAAGTTATTTTTACAGGCTGTGCCAGACTTCACAGCTTCAGAGCTCTTTATTTTCCCCTGGCAGACTGTTTTCTGTGCACGGGACCTTTTCACATGGCACGAGTTCCCTCGCAGAGGAGCTGCCACTGGAATAGAGCCTGTCGTCTGCGAGCCCGTCAGCTTCCTATTTGCACCTCTTTCCCTGTGATTTCACCTGCTCTTCCTCCTCTCACTGTCTGCCCTCCCTCAGAAATGAGAGGAAAAGAAACTCTTCTGTCTCATGGGAAGTAACAGGCTGAGGAGTGCTGACATGGCTTGTTTGTGCCACGATCTCAGACGGTTTTGGGCTTCGTGCTCTTGAGGATGGCCCCGTGCAGGGCTGAGTTGGACTCAATGATCCTTGTGGGTCCCTTCCAGCTCACCTTATTCAGTCATTCCTGGAGGGAGAAGCCACAGCGGATCCGTTAGGACCTAAATGCTCAAAAATCAGGAAGCAAAGTCAAGATGCCTCAATTTTTAATTTTTTATTATTTTTTTTTAATATTTAGTCCACGATCACAGCAGCAATTTTTGCATGATGGATTTAACAGTAACATCAGCAGCTTCTGTCGTGGCAGACCTTAATGTAAGGAAGGATGACAACACAAGCTCCGCAGCAGCTGTACCAGGAGTTTATTCCACATGCACACGGGTTTCTCAGCAGTTTGATGGCCTATTAGGATCGCTTAAACTTTTAGAAGAGTGTGTTATAAACCCAGCCGTACTTTTTTGTTCTGTCTTCTGCAGGTCCTCTGTAGTTGAAAAGAAAGTCATTACGCTGAAATGAGTGGCAACAGCCACATCAGATAAAGCTCCACTCACTTTAATCAGGTTTTGCCAACTGCAGCTTATTTTGCTTAGAAAATGAAGCCTGGCCTCTGAGATCAATCACTAGCGACTGACTGGTGCAAACAGAAAATGCCAGACTGCTGCTGTAAGACACTTTTAAGTTTACAGTAGTGAAGATCATTAAAGCAAAAGTTGGGATTTTTTTCCCCCCCTCCCTTAAAAAAGCAAGCAAAAAATTAAATTGTCTTGATAGGAAAAAAATACTACAAAGCATACGCAGGCTTGACAGAGAGATTCTGGCCAGGGAGAAGGGAAAATAAAAAAAAAAAGGTGCTGATGCTGTTCCTTCACTGAAAAAAAGTGTTGTAAAGCATAGGAACAGGTTGCCCAGGGAATGGTGGAGTCACCACCCCCGGGGGATTTAAAAGACTTGCAGATGTGGCACCTGGGACATGGTTCAGCGGCGGACTCAGATATTTTCAGTTTAGTGGTTTAACTCCATCTGAAAGGCCTTTTCCAACCAAAGCGATTCTGGGATTCTGTCATCACCTCTGCTGTGTGCCCTGGGCATTTGGGGCTGCCTCACACAGGGGTACCCCATGTGTTAGGGCCAGAGGGTCACTATTTTGGGGGGCAGTGTTGCTCTGGATGTGTGTCTGTCACCTGTTTATTTAGCTGGGCTCGGACTGGAGCCAGGGGCTGAGCCCTGGCAGTGCCAGTTGGCTGCCAGCTCCTGCCCTGCACTGGAGCAGTAACCAAACACTGCAGCCTAATAAAGAACTGAAAGGCACATGTGAAGGCTGCAGACATGAAATAATGATGAAACAAAAAAGCAGATCAAAGCTTTTAATATCACTCTAAGTACTTTTACTCTCAGAAATTCTTATCAAAGACAGGCAGATGTCGCTGCCTGCAGGGGTCTCAACTCAGAGCTCCCCTATTTGCGTTCACTCCACAAATGTGCCCTCAAAACTGGAGGCCTATGATGTAAGAGCAGTGGTGGGGTTTGCTGTGGCAAAGCCACACACTGAAATCTGATAGCACTGCAGAGCAGAGTCAGTGCTGATGTGGTG